ACTCACCCAAGGTCACCCAGTGGATTTCCATGGCCAAGCAGGGATTCAGATCCTGGTCTCTAGAGTCATTGTCCAGTGCTCAAACCACTACAGCACACTGGCATAGCTACACTGGACTCCAGAAAGTATCAGAGGTGTGAAGATATTGCCAGGATGTCTTGCTTGCAGACATCCCGGAAGGCACCTAGTTCCCATAGAAAGCAGGGAAGCAAGGCTAGAGAAGACTCAATCTAATCTAATCCACCTGGACTCCTTTTCTGCTCAGAGAAGAGCAACGTGGTACAGCGGGTGCTGAACACGCTCCGTTTCCTATGGGTGCTGTGCCAGGCTACGGTGGACGGGCTGACCCAGTGGCTGCGGGCATTTACTAAAGAACATGAACAGTTGTCCACCGTCTTGAGACTGGAGAGATACGTCCTCACGCAAGAGTTGGATCAGGTAAACTGAGCACTGCACAGCTGGACATCTGCACAGCTGGATGCTGCAGGAGGGGGCTTTCATTTGGAAGGGGATTGAGAGAAAGTTCCTTCCTTCAGCGATGGTATCACTCATTCTCACATAGGCTGAGGAGGTTCAGAGGAACGTCCTGGACAGGTTGTACCAACCAGGAGCAGCAGACCAAACCTCGGTGGATACCGCCCTGCCGGGCACCATGGCAGGCTCTCCGGACAGCACAGCTTCCAGGCAGGTGCATAGGGGCAGGGGGCTGGGGGGAGGCCGATAGGGACCTGTGGATCTCTCAGACCTCTTGGTCCCTAGCCGGGGTGTGTGTGAGCCAATGGGATCCCTGCGTGTGGCTTATTCTGATGGAAACATCTCCAGATGTTTTGGGGGTTCAGTTCCCAGAAGTCCCAGCCAGCATGGCTAGTGTTCAGGGATTCTGGGAACTGGGGGGACCAACAGCATCTGGATGCCCATCTAGATGAGACCTCCAAGGTACCTTTAGATTCTCAAGTTCTCTGAATACAAATCTTCACTAGCTTTCTCTATGAAGGAAGCAAAGAGGAATTTTGCCAGTTGTCTTCCCAGCTGCAAGGAAATATTTGGAAAAAAAATATGACATTTTCGAAGACTCTTTGCAGTTCAGGACCTATTCTGTGAAAGATTCTCCTGTGGTGTTTTTGTGCAGAAAAGAGCCGCTTCCGTGCAGAAAATAATATTCCTGCACAGAGAAATTATATGCTGCTTGTTTCATGCAAAGAAAATGCTGTTTTCTTTTCAAAATGACCGCATGCAATTTTT